TGGCCTCTTGTCAGGAAAGAAAAAACGTCTAAAAAATCGCATAAAAATACCTCTCTAAAGATGAAAATATTGATTTTGTAAAATTTTCTCATATTTTTTCAATTTTGTCATATTTTTGGCATATTTTCATTTTGAATTAAACATTTGGTAATATTTCTACATCTAACAAAACTAAGTAGTTAGGATATCAGGATATCATATACAGATCGCATTTATGGCCCGATCCTTATGAAATTGTGCATGGGGATAAGATGAGGGTCAGAATAGAAGCCTACTCTTTTTGGAGATAATCGCCATATATTTAGGGGTTGAAATGGACAAAAAAACTGCAAAATTGTCAGCAGGTCGTAATTATCGCCCGATCGCATTTGAATGGAGGTTACCGGACATTGCAAAAGCCAAATAGTTTTGGATGGCCATCCAAAAATATTCAATGTGTGAACTAGTTTGCCAACTTTTGTAGACAAAATACGAAAATATCCATTCCAGTGTCTTTTTGGAGAATTCACAAATACAGGAAAGACGCACTTCTGACTATTTCGTTAAGGCTGATTTCGTTGAAGAATATAGTCAAATGTCTGTATCTCATATAGATGCGTTTAAGTCAAAACCAATAATAAATGTTAATCTTTTGCCACTTCTGAGAGATTATATGTCTTTGGGAAATATTGGTTCCAGATCTAGGAGGACCATTTACGTGCAACATCTTCCTATAAATTGGAAATGAGCAAATTAGATCAAGTTTCTATTATTCGAAAATTAGAACGAAACCTGATGGTTTTCTTTTATTATTTGTCACAATATCTTGTGGAATTCTTTCGAGTATATGGCCTATATAAACTGTATCATTTATTATAGTGTTGTAGGGTATTCAACGGTCGGCCCCGCTCGACTGTAGCCTTTGCTTACTTGTTTTTTCTGTTGTTGCAAAATCGTCAGGCAAAATCCCATTATTGTTGTTTTTATAAAAACAACGTTTGTTTATGAGTGGAGAACGATGGTAATGTTTACCAGGGGGTAAGGCAGGGAATACCTAGGTTTCGGAAAGAGCCACCAATCCTCATCAGTTCCCTTTTTTCTTGTCTGGGATATTCTCCCCAGAAGTTATTTTAAAAATAACTTCTATGACAAAAAACATTTTTTACCCAAGTGACGAGATCGTAAGCTCAATAGAAGAGGAACAAAAGAATTACATAAAACGAAAATTCTTTTGGAAAATCTTCTAAATCTTACAACCGCACTTATAAACATTTACATCTTTCTCCACTTGTTATGCTTTCGTTCAACCTAGATTTAGAAGATTTTCCAAAAGAATTTTCGTTTTATGTAATTCTTTTGTTCCTCTTCTATTGAGCTTACGATCTCGTCACTTGGGTAAAAAATGTTTTTTGTCATAGAAGTTATTTTTTAAAATAACTTCTGGGGAGAATATCCCAGACAAGAAACAAGGGAACTGATGAGGATTGGTGGCTCTTTCCGAAACCTAGGTATTCCCTGCCTTACCCCCTGGTAAACATTACCATCGTTCTCCACTCATAAACAAACGTTGTTTTTATAAAAACAACAATAATGGGATTTTGCCTGACGATTTTGCAACAACAAAATACTATGGTATCCCAAACAAGCAAGCCAAACACTGTTCTATTAATTTTTTCTTTGAATATATTTTTATACCCTCCATCATAGCCCTTATATACTTCGTATAGCCCCTAAATATCGGTACCTCCCGATATTCGGTATTTTGATGATTTAAGCGACTCTATTCAAGGGAATTGTTTCAAATTTCGTATTTGAAGTTCCTAATGAGAAGTACAGCCTATGAAAGAAATTTCTGAGCAGGTCTTCGCATGGCCCTTAAATATCTGTACTTCCCTATATTCCGTATTTTGATGATTATAGCTACATTATTCACTGGAATTGTTAAAATTTCGTACTGGGTACTATAGCCTGTGACAGAAAATTGCTGGTCCAAGTCTTCGCATAGACCCCAAAATAACGGTAACTCCCTACATACGGTATTTTTAAGATTAAAACAGAATTTATATAACGACATTCTATTCTATTATTTATTTATTTATTTTTTTTTTTATTTTGAAAATTTCCAAAATAGTGGAGAATATTCAAAGTCAGCCCCGGCCGAACGTACTGCTTTTTCACTTGTTTTGTTTTTTCTTTAGGACAGTTATGTCCGAAATTCCTTTAATTATTATACCCTCAGCCTACCGACGGTATATATCAGTTGATACGGCCAAAATGTGCCTCTTCGCAATTACTGTTTCAGACCCCAGGTCTCTTTAGGCCAATTCCGTTTCAGTGTCTAGTACTAATTCTCGCAAGAAGAATTCGATTTTCCCCCCAAACTTGGTAGATCGTAATATTATTATCAATATAGACCCACTTTGGAAATGGGCAATATCGGTCAACTCCTTCTGGTGCCTCCCCTACAACAGTATGAAATTTTCAAAGAAAACGATTTAGTGCACAGAAAAGAAAGAATAATCCGATTTTGCTCCAACTTTGCAAATACTATTATTTGCATCAGTGCTAGGTTTGGTGCGAATAAAGGACAATATCGGTCCACTCCATCAAGTACCTCCCCCACAAAGGCTCAAATTTTAAATAAATATAAATATAAGAGTCCGATTGTCTTCAAATTACACACATCAAAATATTTTTATAAATCCAAGGTCTGTTGTGAAGGTGAAATAATGGGGATCACTACTTCTGGTACCTCACCCACAAAGGGCCCAAATTTTGAACATTCATGAAGCTCATAAAACACGAAATTAACATCCGATTCCCACAAAGGGACAAAATTTTGAATATCCATGAAGCTCATAAAACACGAAATTAACATCCTATTTTATTCAGATATGGTATATCTCAATATTTCCATCAACACAATATCTGTTAAAAATATGGTGGAGATCGGATCATTCCTTCTGGTGCCTCCCCCACAAATGGTCAAAGTTTGGAATAACCAAAAAACGATCATAAAATCAGAAATAAGCATCCAGTTCTCTTCATATTTCACACATCACATATTTTTATTAAACCATGGGCTGGTGTAAAGATGGAATGTATCGGTCCACTCCTTCTGAGGCAAAATTTTCAATATCCATGAAGCTCATAAAATGTGAATAAAACGGTTTCATTCAGACTTGGTATATCTCTATATCTCTATGATTCTATCGGATCATTTCTTCTGGTACCTCCCCCATAAAATATCAACGTTTTGAATAACAAAAACGATTATAAAATCCGAAATAATCATTTTATTTCCTTCATATTTCACATATCCCATTATTTCTGCTTATTCTGTGGAGATGGGATATATAGGTCCACTCCTTCTGGTACCCCCCCCCCCCCCCCCTCCACAAAGGGTCAAAATGTTGAATATCTCTGCAGCTCATAAAACGCGAACTTAACATCCGATTCCATTTAGGCTTAGTACATCTCAATATTTACATCAACATGAGATAAAATGGTAGGGATCGGACCATTTCTTCTGGTAACTCCCCCACATATGGCTGAAGGTTTTGAAAAACAAAACGCTCAGAGAAAGCGAAATAAGCATCCATTTCTCTTCAAATTTCAAACATAGAAACATTTTCGCTAACACAAGATCTGTTGTGAAGATGATATATATCTGCGAACCCCTTCTGGTACCTCAACCACAAAGGGTCACAATTTTCAATACTTTCATTGGACATAGCCTGCGAAACAAGCCAGCGAATTCTGTTCAAATTATAACGTCTATGTTCGATTTTCTTGTAAAATTGCCCATATCAATGTTTTTATCTGTAATAGATGAAGTATGACAAGGAAAAAAGCTGTAAGTTCGGCCGGGTCGGACGTTGAATGAATTTGGAAATTTTCAAGAAAATAAAAATTCACTTAAAATCTTAAAAATATCGAATGTAGCCGTTATATTAGGTCTATACGACGACGTGGTCCTGCAGAGGCAAGTTTTGTCATGAGCCATTACAATATTCAAATGCCTCACTTGAAAAAATCGGTGAATAATGTAGCTAAAATCATTAAAATGCCGAATATAGAGAGGTATCATTGTAGGGGGCTATACCAAAACTTGGAGCTGCACAGACAACTTTCTATCATAGGTTCCAGTATCCATTACGAACTTCAAATACCAAATTTGAAACAATTCTGTTGAATATCTCGCTAAAATTATCAAAATACCGAATATCGGGAGGTACCGTTATATTGGGGCTATACGAAGACGCGGACCTGCACAGACAATTTTCTATCATAGGCTTCAAATAGCAAATTTGAAAAATTTCCGGTGAACAATGTCGCTTAAATCACCAAAATACCGAATATTGGGGATATACCAAAATGTGAACCTACGTGGCCTATTTTCAATACCAAAAGTCCTGCAGACATAATATACATTTGAGCAAAGTTTTATCAACCAACTCCTTTTTGTTCGGAAGCTAGAGTGATTTCCACAGACGGACGGACATCGCTAAATCGACATAGAATTTTATGCTCATCAAGAATACAGGGGCCAGTCGTTTGAAAAATCCTAACAGAAGTCAAAATATGTTTAAATAATTGAAGATTGACTGAGGGTATACCTCTGTCGGCATAACCGACTGATACTTTTTAACTTGTTTTTTATTCAATTTTTAAATAATCTTACCTAATGCCCCCAATAATACTTCCCAAACAAACCATCCCCTTTCCTAAGTTCGGTAAAAAAATTCACTCAAGTGTGTTTCAATTAGATTCAGTTTAATTAATTTCTGGTGTAAATAAATTATCAATGTATTAGTGTTTACTTAAAATAATTTATTTAAAAATTTGTCCTTGCTACTGAGGGTAGATGTACCAGACAGCTTTCTTGGCTATTGGTTACATAAACAATGCCATGCAGATTGATAGTTCATCATTAATTTATGTCAATTGTTTATGTTCTTAAATTTAAAAATATTCTATGGTAGTTGTAACAAAAAAAATATTAAATAAATTGTCCTTACCAGGGTTTTGTTGTTTTTGTGGCTTTCCTAAAAAGAAATTATATAATTATTGTTGTGATAAAATATTGAACAACTAATGGGAATAATTAAATGCTTCTAAATGAAATGAATTTTAAATAAAAGGAACAAAAAAATCAAAAACACACACACCACCAAATTAATGACAGGGCGGGCAATGACAATGATTTTTGGAAAATTCCAATACAAGTTGTCTTTAATATATATGTATGTAAATATATATCCCAGTAAGCAGATTTTTACTTGCGTGATGGTGATTACAACTTTGCAAAATGGTAGGATATGAAGGCAATTTATAACCTTTATGTAACATTATGACCTTTGTGTACTGGGCAAAAAAATTAAGCTTTTCCAAAATGTCGACATTTTCGAATGAAACTTTTTCAAATTTTGATGAATATTTCATATTCCTAGAATAGAGTTGGTTTCGTAACATATAATTTCTTGAGTACTCTGGAAATTGTTCACTGGGTTACCGAAATGTGTAAAACTATGAGTGCGTATTTTTGGGAGGGCGTTCGTTATGCTCTTTGATTTCCAAAGTAATCGAAGTCTTAATGGTTCACTTTTAAAGCAATTGTTTTTCACAAACCCACACATATACACATTTAAAATTTGCAATAAGAATATAACAATACAAATTATAATTTATTTTAATTGCTTGATTTTATAATAACAAAGCTGAGAAGAAATTTAAACGGTAGAGATCAAAAACCGCTACGGTATTTTATTTTCTATGGACCATCAGAACACACCAAAAGCATTTAATGTACATTTTATAAGAACATTTTTCAAGGACCATCACAACAATAAGCGTGGATTTTTTAAGAATATTTTTTCATGGACCATCACAACAATAAGCGTGGATTTTTAAGGAATATTTTTTCAAGGACCAGCACAACAATAAGCGTGGATTTTAAAGAATATTTTTTCTAGGTTATTACAGAAAAAAGCGTGGATTTTTAAAGATTATTTTTGCAAGATTTTTACAGAAAATAGCCTGAATAGTTTGAAAATAATACTTTAATGACTATCAGAGAATTTTTTTTCGAGGGCTATTACTAAAAGTATTTTTTTGGGAATAATAAGGCAAGTGCCCGCTACTTCGTCAGAGAAAAATCCACCCTAAAATTTGCATTCGTTCCAACAGTACGTGTTAGGACTTTTTATACCCTACACCACAAAGTGGTCAGGGTATTATGTCTTTGTGCATTAGTGTGTAACAGGCAAAAGGAAACGAGATCGATCCATAGTCCCTTTCGATGATCTGCATAGAATCATTTTCTGAGTTGATTTATGCATGTCAGTCCGTCTGTCCGTCCGTCCGTCTGTCCATGTATTCTTGTGAACAAAATGCAGGTCGCATTTATTATCCGATTGAGATGAAATTTTCCAAACAACATTTGTTTGGCCCAAGGACGAACCCTATTGAAATTGGAGATAATCGGTAAAAATTTAGATATAGCTCCCATATATATCTTCGTCCGATTTCCTTTTATTGTGCATCAAACGTAACGAATAGTATGAAATTCTGCACATACAATCAAATTAGGCCTGAAAATAAGTGTGCCAAATTTGATCGAAATCGGTTGAGATATAGCTATAGCTCCCATATATATTGTTCATCCGATTTGTTATTTTTATCCTCCGCAACCGTAATATGCACTCTGTAACAACAATATTTGGGGAAATATATCAAATGCATCTCAGAAATACCTTTGCTAAATTTTATCGAGATCGGTTCAGATTTGGATATAGCTCCCATATATATCTTCGTCCGATTTACATTTTATTGTGCACCAAACGTCTAATATTTGTCCAAATGGGATGGAATTTGGCACATACGACCGAATTGAGTCTAGAAGGTAGTATGCGAAATTTGGTGAAGATCGGTTCAGATATAGCTATAGCTCCCATATATATTGTTCATCCGATTGTTTATATTTGTTACCCACATCCGTAATATGCACTCCGTAACAACAATATTCAGAAATACCTTTGCTAAATTTTATCGAGATCGGTTCAGATTTGGATATAGCTCCCACATATATCTTTATCTGATTTCAAATTAATTGTGCACAAGTCCGAATTTAAAAGATACAAATGCTTCCACATATTTAGTCCTTTGAACTTTAAATTATAATTATAATCATGGCGTGTATGATTGAATTCTCCCATAAAAACTTTTAATTGTTATGTGGAGCTCAACTAAATTAGCAAAGAGGTGTAGGGTATCATAAAATCGGCCCCGCCCGACCTTAGGGCTTTTTTTACTGGTTATTACTCAAAATATGCAATTATTTACAATTTAACCAAAAATGTTAATCAATACTTTATACCTCGTACACATTTCCAAAGCCACCTTAATACTTTACTCAAAGATACCATAACAATTTTTATCCATTATCCAGGCTACACATTAAAAACTATCCAGATTTCATTTACCATCTGTATACCCAATACCAAACGGTACCAAATATAGTACTATTTAGTATGTGCACTTGTAGTACACATTTCCAAAACCTTAAGCCTCTTTATTTCAATCCTACCACCACAAAGGGCCCTAATACAAAACTTCGAAATTCACCCTTAATCAAACGGTTCCAAATTTAGTACCTTTAGTATAGTTCATAAACTAAGTACAAATTTCCAAAACCACTTTTATATCTCAAACTTAATTTCAAACCTTGATTCTCATGCTCAAATTTCAAGTTTTTAATTCTATTCGTTCCCATAATACCAAATTGTACAATTTTAGAAATTTAGTGGCATTTTAGAACATTTCCAAAATTTTAAGTTCGAACTTCCAATAACTCTTTGGTGCATATATCCTGCACTTCATCACTGACTCTCATTCCAAATTACAGAATCCCAGCTCCATTAGGTGCATCACAATTCCAATTTTTACCAAATTTAGTTCTCTTGAGTACACATAAGTACAAATTTCCAAAGCTTCTATTGTTTCATTCAAATCCAATTTGTACCTAATTTTGTACCATTTAGTGACTTAAGTACAAATTCTCATAACTACCTTCATCATACAGCCCAATAGAAATTTTATTTTCAAATTTCAGGATTCTAAAAACATCGGTGCTCCAAAAATTTAAATTGTACCAAATTAAGTACCATACATTGTGAGATGAAAAACTGCAACCAACTTTAGACTGCTGTCATTTCTAAGCCACTCGTCCGACAGCTGTTAAAATTATTCCAGTGACAGCCCATTATATTGTTTACAAGCCTACTAAAGCATTTTGGTCAGAATTGTTAAGAAAAAAAGTTATACGTGATGTAATTCAAGCGTGATAGTGTGATTTCTTTATATTTGGCTGAAAGCCGTTTACCGGTTACCGTTTCTTTGACGTCGGGCTACTGGTAGCGTAGCCCGACGGAAGAAAACAGCAACATCAGCAGAAATGGTTCGAAAAGTAAAGAGGCGACTTGATCGAAACTCGCGTCACAGTGGCCGAAAACGACTCGTAAGCTGAACATATCGCAATATTCCATTCGGCAAATATTGAAGAATGAGCTCGGGGTAAAGCCATCGAAATTCCAAAAAGTGCAAGAACTTACACCGCAACAGAAAGAAAATAGACTCAAAAGAGCTAAAGAGTTGCTTCGCTTGGCCGAAAGTGGGGAACTGCCAAATTTGATTTTCTCCGTCAGCTGAAAATTTGCGCTTTCGGTTGGCCACAAGAACTCAAGCGCCGACCATGGTGATGGTGTGCGCTGCCATAACAGCCGATGGTCGCTCTCCGCTCGTATTAATCGACCGTGGCATCAAAATAAATGCAGAACATTATCTCGAAAATATTCTGGAGGGTGTATTAAAGCCTTGGGTACGCAAACATTTTGGTCGCAGACCTTGAACATTTCAGCTCCACCCAAGAATGGTCACAAAATGAGGATACTCGCTTTATTTCCAGTGCACAATGGCCATCAAAATCTCCGGATACCAATCCTTTGGACTGTTGTGTCTGGAGTATTTTGGAAAGCGAGGTTGGCACTATTAAATAACAAAGTGTCAATCATCTCAAGCGCTTCTCAGAGAATAAACCAAAATACCGCAGAGCAACATTCGGGCATCGTGTGACGGTTTATAGGCCGTTTGAAAGCTATAATTCATTCCAAAGGTGATCAATTGGAACAAATCTAGACTTATTCTAAAATTTGATGCCATTTCCGACATTTTTTGCTTTCATTCAATAAAATTTGAATAAAAAAGTAAAATGTTGCAGTTTTTTATTTAACCCTGTACAAAGTATACCATATTAAGTACCTTTTAATAACTTTCGTACCTTTCTAGTACGAATATTAAAACACGAAGCCTCATTTAACTCATTCGGACAAAGATTGACACCTCTGTCTGTCAATTACTTTACTCTTTTATTAATATGGATAAATGAACATTGGCAGAGGGTATACATCTCTCTCCCAAAATCGACGAATCCTTTTTAACATGTTTAAGAAGAATGTTTCTTTTAAAATCTTTCGGGCAGACAGTATTGTTTTGATCCTTCATGTCCTCAACTTTTTTCTTATTACCATTTGAATCCCTTTAAAAGCCTCATTACTTCGTCTTGGCCAGATTGTCTTTGATTTCCATTTCCCTTGAATTTGATGGCAAAGGTAATACTTTCGTCCTACATAAATGTTTGTGTACGTATATCCTTTACCTCCTTTCATTCAATATATGCATATATATATGTGTGTGTGTGTCAAACATTACTTTCCCTTGGACGGACAAGAAAACAAGGCGTTTTTCATTTTGTAATGTTATTATGTTGTAATTTGTTTTGTATGACACAATAAAAGCGATATGATCATGGGCGTGAGGTGGGGTAGGGAAAAACAAAAATGAGATTGTAAGGGACAAAACGATTATTGAAGAAAATATTTATGTTCGAACATTGTCATAAGGTCATATATGACCAATAAATTGTTAGCCATTGTTAGGCACTTTTTTTTTGCTTTTATTACTTTAAGATTGTGGGCAATTGGGGCATGAG